CCCTGCTTTCCTTTATGTTCATTTTGTTGTTTAACAAGAATAAAGAAAAGCTGTTTATTTTATGGAAAGGTTATTGTGTCTTTTTTCGATTTTCAAGCGCATTTCAATGAAAGTATTTGCATGCAATAAGGTAACAATAAGGCACCGGATTTATCGCGATTATTGTGGAGCTTAAAGCTTATACGGTTTGTGAATAGTCTTCAGTTATTGGATAGGAACTTAAAAGCATTAAAGCTTGATTGTCTAAATTGAAATTCTGGATTTCGTAAACATGGTTCCTCAGATTATTGGAGATACTGTAGATTATTATGTCCTATAGAATTTTTAATGAAAAAAATTAAGACTTATGGCACTAAAAGTATGACTAAACAGAAGCTGTACGTGCAATCTGCTTACAACAATGAAATATTTTCCTGTGTCAATGCAGCATATCACTTGATTTGATCTATAACATGAATAGAAGTAGTTCCTCTCTCTTCCCATGGCTAAGCACATTCCATCTGATAATTCATTAGCAACAACCATAGAAAGTCAATCCCACGAAGACAAATTGACCACTCATGTCAACAGACAAGTCACAAGCATGCTAACAAGTCAGATATGCACCACATACACGTAAATAGCATAAATAAACTTCCGAACGTGATGGTGTTGCTCTTGATTCTTACTCATTTGACTCTATACAGGAAGAAATACCTTTTTTAATTGCCATTGCTGGCATTAAATGATAATGGCTTCAACGTGATTCCAATTTACTTCTTCAATTCCATTTTATTTCAAAAATATTCAACTTTTGTTCAAGATATATAGATGTGCTCATACAAAAATATCGCAGTTTTTAAACGTCAAAAATTTGAATTTTCTAAAAACACTAACACTATAAAAGAAAATTTTCAATTTTTGTTTTGCAAAATTTTCAACTTTCTGTTAAGTTTTGTTGATACAGGAGTATTGCAAATGCTTTGCTATAATTAAAAGTAACTGACTAAAGTCAAATGTTGTTGCATCTGTAGATATTTAAATGAAAACTTGAAAATAGAAAATTTTAAAAATTTTTGTTTGTATAAGTACACAAAAAATAGTATGGTCGAGTATGGTCAGGTATACTCTGTATGAGCCCATCTATATATCTTGCTTTTGTTTTTAGCACTGGACATAAAAAATATGCTAATATTATATTAAAATATTCTTTTTGTTTTCCTCGAGTTCAAAATTGAGAAAATTTGCTTCGTGTTGCTGTGCATCAGTGTGTCATGATTTTACTTTGCAACGATAATGACGTTTTAATGGATATCTCTTTTTATACTTTTGGAATTAAATTTGGTAATGCTTCTTTTTGATGTGCATTAGGGAAAATTTGTTGTTTTTGTGTTGTGAAGTTTATTAGAGTTTCGTTTGATGAATAAAAAAAAGTTCATTATCGTTGTAATTAGCTCGAATGTAGGACAATATACTAATTTGTGAATTCTGGTGGATGTTTATGGATGTATGGAAGGGGAGTTGTTTATGCTTTGGGGTAGTTTTATTGAAATTTATAGATACAAAGTGAGATATTAAGTAAAAGAATTGGGTTTAAAATTACAAGAAGAGTCCAGACTTAGTAGGGGCAAAATAGGGGGTGTTTCAACACCCAAAAGAAACCCTTCTCCCTCTTCCGGATACGTTCCTGCCTCTTAGCTCCAATTTTAATATGGAATCAAGTCTAACTTCATTCAGCACCAGCAAAATTACCTCCGAACAAATATTCATCTAATGTTCTCATATAATTCAATTCAAGGACATTTGCATCGTCCAAAAATTTGTGTGAATATGAAAGAATCTGTGCAGGTGCTGATAGAACAATAACATTCACAGAACAGCTGACAATACTCACGCAATTTTTTAGTGCATTTTTGAAACTTGTTTCTAAAAGGTATCTTAATAATACACTTTGTTCGGCTGTTCGGGGCAAGAAAATCTTTTTAGTCAGACATCGTAGAGAGCTCGGGTTTGTTTTATTAGCTCAGTTCTATCGAGTTATTGGCCGGCCGAACAGTTAAAATCTTAAAACATCGTATTTATACTTTAATTAATCATTTTTTTATTTCATATGAAAAACACGTGATGGGTGCGTTTAGAAATTTGAATTATTTTCTACCGTTGTAAAAATTATTGGATAATCAAATACTGTTTGCTATCACAAAAATGCGCTTAAGTCCCTCGATCAATAACACGAGGACTTCTGTAATTTTTTTTTTTGTCAGGAATGATTAGATATAAACCATTAAAATCCTCAAATTCCATAGAGTCATTAAAATAAATAAATTAAAATATTTGATGAACTTTACAGCCTATTTTAATAATTTCCAAAAATCATCCCAAAAAGGATATTAATATCCAGTAGCAAATATTAATCAATTTTAAATTTTTATGCTCAACAATAAAATTGTCTCATAAAAATTAAATTTATGTTGCTTAAAAGTAAAAAGAATATTCAACCCGTAAATGACTTCATAAAAATGAAATTTAATATACGGTACACAGAACAACAGCAAAAAAAGTACCCTCAATTGTCATTAACATAGTTTGTAGATATTCTCTATAAATAAGTTAGGCAACCAGCTAATCATTTCCATTTAGGAACCGAGAGAGAAGAAAAAAAATTTTAATTGTGAAATTAAATCACATAAAATAGATGAAAAAGTTTATATTCAATTATAAAACATCAACAACAGATGGCGATTGCGTGTAGTTGAGCAACGCATACACGCATATTTACTCTCAATTCTCTTTCTCTCTCTCTCTCGGTCGATTCTCGTTCACAACAACAACAGCAACAAAAGGAAATCCTTTCATCCCCTTTATGGGTTGAAGGGAAAAAGCAAGAACGTGTTTAGGTATCAAACTATATGCAACAAATCATGATAATGAAAAACTGTTCAGGCTATATTTAGAAATATGAGAATTATTTTGATATATTATGTAATGGATATATGCAGGAGGGAAGAAAGTGGCTCAACACTTAGTTCATTTACGGGATATGCAAACTTTTTAAGGGATTTAGGGCAGTCTCTCCTGTGGTGATGTGTTGAATTTGACAAAACGAATGAAGCAGCTGACTCAGAAAGTCAATAATGGCAATAATTAATGAGAGACTTAGTCTCTTGGCTATTGATTCTCAAATGCTTCCATTCCGTGCTGAAAACTTCTAAGTTTAAGTTTATTTTGATGTCCAACAAAATTGTAGGCATTAGTATTAGATGCAGAAATTCTTGTTGGGTGAAAGTCACAATGCTTATTTATTACTAAAGAATTCTAAAGGATTTAATGAAATATTGAACAATGAAAAATTGAATAATGAAGAGGCCGTTCACTTATGACGTCCAGCGAGGGGGGGGGGGGGGGGGGGTCAGCAAGAAAGAAGAAATTCCTGGAAATCCATTGTTCTTTTTTGAAAAATGACCGTTAATTGCGGACGTCATAAGTGAACGACCCCTAAAATAAAATAAATATTTCTACATGGGTGGGGGGGGGGGGGTAAATCAATCATCTCGATTCGAATATGAAATAACCGTTAAAAGTTCAAATATTTCTATCTTATGATGTACTTCATTTGTGAATGACTTCTAATGCAGTTCTCATATTACTCTAAAGGGATGATCTTGTTGTAGAAAGAGTTAAAAAATTAAAATTCAAAACAAACGTCATTAATGAATGATCCTTCAGTTTAATTTCAATAAACCGGCTTATATAAATCCAAGATTTTTACCATTTCTTGCCAGAATTCTTAATTCCAACTGACTCTAGTACATTTGAAACATTTTAAGCTATCAAGGCAGTTCCACGTCATCCAAAGAATTTCAAATTTATTAGACAGTAACAACACCCATCCCAGATGTTAAATTCTGGGTTCAATTCAATGAAAAAAAAATTCAATCTAAATTTTCAGAATAAAACTCTTTAGGATTCATTGAATATCTATGCATATAGGGGTGCTTATAAGTGGCTAGATTATAATAAATTTTTGATTCCATGTAACCCTACCCAATGACTCGAAGAAAATATGCGCAATTACCAAAACTCATTGGAACTAGAAACTCATTCATTCCTTAAAGTGACTTTACTTCCTGAAAAAAAAAATGTCATTAAGAGGAAATGAGAATTTTTTTGTTGTTGTTGCTGTGAATATGAAGGAATTAATTGACTGTCAAAATGTTTATCACAGCTACTATCTCTAGTAACCTTTGATTCCAAAACCCGAAAAAGAAATTCGATCATTTCCTTTAAATCATCTAAAAATCAATAGAGTCTTCCTCGTTCAAAAAAAAAATCCTCTCATGCTTCCCATCCATAGTGCGTAGTTGCGTAAAGTAATAAAAAAATGCGCTCAAATCATCAATTTTACAGAGAATCCCGAAGCATTTCATTCCCATTCCGCTTTATTTTCTCTTTTCATCATGTGTCACGTGAAAATTTCTCATGCCACACAACATAAACACAGAGAGTGAGCAACGTGAACTGTATAAATGTTGAAAGGCCGGAGTTGCGCAAATACAATCACATGTTGCTCACAAATTCATTCCGCTCTTCTGTTGACTCACATACAATTCGCGATTCGATTTTTTTTTTCTGTTCCTTTCCTTTTGCTTTTAAAACAACGTCAGTTGAATTTCAGTTTTCTATTCGATAGACACGGCTAAAAAATTTCTGTTCGTAGAGAAATTAAAAAAAAAGTAATAAATATACTTAGTGGAATCAGCAACTAGCTCAGCCATTAAGCTTATAAGCCATTATCGCATTAAAATTAGTAAAATAAAATTAATTTTTAAAAAAATAACAAAAAATAATTTTCAAAACAAAAACAAAAAAAATTTTTTTGATCAAATCGAAAAAAAAAATAATAAAATAATTTTTTTGTTTCCTCCTCTAAATTAAGTGCTTCAAGAAAAAAATAAGAAAATTTTAATTTTAAGTTTCAAATTTTATTTTATTTTTTTTTCTGTAAAAAATCAAGTGATATTCGTATATCCTGCAAATTAAATTTCATTATATAAAAAAAGAGAAAAAAAAGTAAATAATAAATTTTTGCCAAGAAGTGAGAAAATATATATAAAAATACACGTCAAGTAGCAGCAGCAGCAGCATCTTAAAAAATATAAATAGAAGAAAAATAAAAATCATTTGTGTGTAAATAAATAAATAATAAAAAATTAAATTGAAAAAAGTCAAAGTATCTGTGTAAAAATGAGTATTGCACTTCTCATTGATGCGGCGGAATTTCTGGAAAGACGTGAGAGAGGTAATTTATATCCCAGAAAATTTCTTAAAAAAGTGGAAAATTTTTGTGTGTCCTTCGGAAGGAAAATTTGCGAAAAATAACAAATGAAAAACAAAAATGGCGCTGTGCCTTAATATTTATACACAAATACTCTTTATCAGCTGATTTGCAAAAGTGTTTGAATATTGTGAATACAAATCTTGTAGCTGTAGAGGGCAATTAATACGCCATACATCCTGGGAGTATAAAAAAGAAATTTATGACTTTATACATCCTGTAGGGCCAACTATGCTGGATAGAAGGGACAGTTTTTAATGAAAAATTTTTAATTCTAAATGAGAATGAAATAAAAATCTGTAAAAAAAATTGGTGCCGAGCCCAAAAAAAAACCACTTAATATTTCTCGTCCGTAGCTCACGACTGCTGTAAGACTTTAATATTTTTATTTTGTTCACATGCTACAGCTGTGTGAGTTAGGCCGAGTATTCCATATGATTAAATTAACGTGTGGTTGAGTAATGCCCGCGTCATTTATTGTTTACGTTTGAGTTTTCTTCTTTCTCTTCTGCCTGCTTGCTTCTATACACATTTACAAATTTTTATTTTGAATTTTTCTTACTTCATCTTCGTCCACAATTCACAAGAAAAAGAATATACTGAAAAAAATAGTCATCTGATGTTAGGTCATCAACAGCGCATTTATTTTATTATCCAAGCAAGTTAATAATTGAATTCTCAATCAAAGTGTATTTAGTTGGCGAAAAAAAAAGTCACGTACGCAAATTACTTCGAGTGCTGCTTCATATTCTGAATGGTGTGCATGTGAATGTTTGTTTGTTTTTGATGTGTAGTAATGAGTCAGAAAAATGTCAAGTATTTTTTTTTTATTTGCAATTTTTTATGACTTTTAAATCCACGTCAAATAGGTCATTTAAATTTTTGGAGAAATTGTGGAAATTTTTGACAAGCTATTTCATGAATTCTTGTAATTATTTTGAACTTAATTTTGAAGAGTTTGAACAGTTTTTCAGTGACTTCAATTTTAGCAATTTTTCAAAAATGAAAAAACTGATAAATTTTGAAAATAGTAATGTCGTTTAAAAATCAAAAATTAGAAAACCGATAAATTTTGAAAATAGTAAGGTCGTTTAAAAATCAAAAATTAGAAAACCAATAAATTTTGAAAATAATAAGGTTGTTAAAAAATCAAAAATTAGAAAACCAATAAATTTTGAAAATAGTCATGTCGTATAAAAATCAAAAATTAGAAAACCGATAAATTTTGAAAATAGTAAGGTTGTTAAAAAATCAAAAATTAGAAAAATGTTAAAATTTTCAAAAATTAATAATTTGTTTAATTTAAAAAAAAATCTTGATAATATCTTGGAAAATTTCCAACTTATACACATGACTTTCATGCACGAAATGCCGACCGAACAAAAAACTTTCCCCTTACAAATGAAAATGTTCTTAAACATCTCCATCGATATCGCATAGAGAATGCTTAGGTAAATGATAACAACAAAAGTTTTGGACATAATGTGCCATCTCTGAACTTTCCTCGCAGCACAAAGCATGCTAAAGAGCTAAAAGAAATACAAAATAACATTTTACAGTCATTTGTGAACGACTCAAAAATAGACGGGCGAAATATTATTAATAAAAAAAAGTTCATATATATTCCTTTCAACGCCGGGTATGATGATCACGATTTTTTTTGTTGTTGCTGTACATTTCGTATCAGAGAACATTTTCCACGTCAAATATTTATGATTGCCCTACTGAAAACTGGCTGCTTTTTATTTTTTATATTCATTCTCTTCCACTCGATACTTTGAAAGGTATTCATTAAAATGTCGATAGATTCAATAAAATTCATCCATTCCAACCATTTTTTTTTCTCTGCTGTTTTGTATACAGAATAACTGAGTGTGTAGCGGGTCTGTAAAATTGAGGAAAATTTTGTTTTATTGATGAAAAGAATTACATTAAAACAAAAATCTAATTTAAATTTTTTGTTGTTGTAATCTCAAAGGGAATGAACGAGGAATGATGGAAAAAATTTGCAAACCATAAAAGACAGAGCAGCATAGATGAAAATTATGTAAATGGCATGAGCGATGTAACATATCTATCGTGTACATACGAAATTTCTCTGTTCTGAGAAGAAACTTCCTTTTTACGCACATATGACAGGATGTGGAAGAGAAATTGCTTTTTCTTCCTCTTGCTTTCTCTATTGATTATATAATTTTTTTTGCGGGATTAAGGATTTATGTCAGTTCTTATTTTGGAGCAGTGGAATTTTCCTTAAAATTGAATAAGATTTGTTTAAATTTTCATTTTTACTTGATTTTTGACTGTTCTTAACTTTCTGGGTGATTTGAAAGTGTGACTTAAGTCTAACAACACAAATCTGAAGTCTCAAATCACTCTGAATATATTTTAAAAACAGTCAAATCATAAATTTATCAAAAAGGAAACAAATCTTAGCAAAAGCGCGGGAAAATTCAAATATTTGAAAATTGATGCAACCGAAAGTTTATTTGACTTTCATGACAAAAAGTATTAAGTGATATTTTTTGACATTTCTTGTACAACCGATAACTCTTTTGAACTTTATGAGAATCATAATTTTTTTTTTCATTCCGCTCGTGTACATAACGTAGCACATCTCTAGTCTGAATAAATTTTTGCATCGATTTGAATACATTTCACTTGATACATGCCTTTTTGACATGGAAAATGTTTATAATTCTAAATTCTTTGTTGATATGATCCAACGGAGAGATGATGATAATGATTATATTATAATATTTACGGAAATAGATACACACAAATTGTGTTTTATTGCGCTTACAAGTAAAAACAACAACAACAACATCTTTATAATGAAAAATCCAGAGCCAGAGTCGTTAGAAGCATAAACAAGAGCCCATCGTACTAAAGAAAAAAAAAATATAATAAAAAAATTTATGTAAACAACCAAATCGAATGCAATCGAGGAAAAATTGAAGAATAAGAAGAAAGAGGAGATGAGAGGAGAGAGAACCGTACGATGGTATATGTGATTTTATGTCTTTTTTTTTATTTTATTCAATTCAATTCTGTTTCCCCCTCGCTCATTGTATTCCTGGGTCTGCTTTTCGTTTGATCACAATCCATTTGATATTTATAATAGACAAACAACAGTAACAGCAGCAGCAACAGCAACAGAATTTACAATGTGACCTTTAAAGAATTATTATTATTATTATATCCATCCACGATGCGTGTGTGTGCGTTGAAATGTGCACATAGAATTTTTTTTGTGTTTACATGGTGCTAAGCGTATAGCGGTGAAAGCGGTTACAATATAACGAAGGATTTCGCGCGCGCGAACACATCTGTCATGTTATTTTTGTTCAAGAGAGAGAGAGAGTCCCAGTTGCTGCTGCTTTGAAAACAAAAAAATTTGGTTAATCGATTAGAGGCGATAGGCGTATGGTTTTTTTTTTTTGGTGAATTGTCGGTATCCACATCAAATAGTTGTAAAGCCGGTGGTAGTCTCATGTGCTCTGCTATTTACATCATTTCTCAACGCTTAAGATAAACAATTACGGCAATTACTATAGGCAATCAAAATATAAAAAAAGTAGTAGAATATTATGGAAGAGGGAAGCGACTAAACAAAAGACAGACATAAAAGTTCTCATTTGAATATTTTTCAAATTAAAATCCACTAATTTCCTCCCAAAAAAAAAAAAAAAATGAAATTTCACTCGAGCTGAACTCCACACTGTATTTTTCTGTTTCATTCAAACACTTAGTTGTAAAAATAAAAAAATAAAAGAGAACTGCTGTGAAGAGAAATAAACAATTTTACGATTGTTGGACTCGAATAGCTAGCAAAACCTCGCAAACACACAGCGAAAGAAAATTTGTACAGTTAATTTTACATAAATTAATTAAACAAAACAGGGAATGAAGCACAGCAGAGTGAGAATGGATGGATAAAAAAGTATTTTTGCTTGCGTAAAAGTTTACACAATGGTAAAAATAAGCAAATATTCGGTGCGTTTCATCTGCTTTCGCGCTCAATTCAGTAATGTGTCGCTCTTTTACAATTTTTTAAGAGCTTAAGACCAAAAGAAGAAATGAAAACTGTAAGAAAAATTATTGAAATGAGAAACATTTAGCAGTGCCATGTAGGTGTTATTTACTTTGAAGAAAGAAACTATAAAAACACAATGAATAAGAAGGAAATATTAGTGAAGAAGTTTGACAAAGTCTTTTGTAAGCGCTTTTAAAAAATAACGGTGAATTTATATTTGAATTTTTCTGCATCATTTCTGCCTCATTTTAAAGTAAAATTGCAACAAAACTTTAATCTCAGAGTAAATTAGCTATGATAACCTTCTAGCAGTAACCTCTGATTAATTTCCTGAGAGCAATCTGAGCTAGACCTCAATCTTACATCATAACTTTGCATCCTCAGATTATAAATTCCTCAAAATTTTAAGATTCTTAACATTCAAATCCTCTTATTACGAATAAATCTGTGTGTCATTAAGCTCCCCTGTCCGTTTTGCATATTTAAACATTTACAAATTACTTGATTGTACTGAAATCAACCCCAGTAAATCAACTTCAAAATGAGCTGTCAAAATGAGTCAAATATTACATATTTCTATGCCAAAAAGTGCTAAGAACAGCTAAACAAGCTACAATAATTCACTACATATGCATTTAAATGACTTATTGTGAAAGACTTGATTTTCAATTAGTCAGTCAGTTGAGGTACGATAAGTAAATATCAAGCAACAAAGTGAAGAATAAAATTATTCATTTGCCTTACTTAGGTCGAAATCTTTTTCATTTTGCTTTCTTGTCCGATGTCTGCTTGTAATATTTATTGGAATAATCATGATCATCGTGAGGAATGTAAAATAAAAACTTTATTCTATTTGAAAAATGACTTCCTTTATGAATTGAATTGTTTACTTCTTGTTTATGTTCCTCATCACTGAATGAGTGACTGACTAAAAATGTCTTTGAATGATTGACGAAGTGCCTTTTTTTCGGACCCTAATAATATTTCATCTATTCATTCACTTTATGTTATCGTATACTTTATGCTTTGCTATTTACATACACACAAAAAGAAGGACTGCATTTAAAGCTATTAACGATTATTTGTCTCGTCCATAAAGTGATTGATACTTTTCTTCTTTTGCTGACGTGAGCCCTTATTCATGAAAATTAAAATAAATTATCCAAATAAATGAAGATGCAGCGAACCATCAAGCAGTCACGGAGTAGACGAAGGGCCTCATATCCGGACCTTTCATTTATTGTGTATATGTCGTATAATATATAGCCACTATATTACCTTCATTACTTATTCCTTCGTCTTTGAATGCTTTTCTCTGCTTTTTACATCTTCTTCTTGTTCCTCTATTTTCCATATTACATTACTTTATTTCATACTTTATGTATTCACTAAAAAATCTGACTAAATTTGCTTCTTATGATAATAATAATGATGATGGTTTATGGTATACATTTTTTTTGTAAGCATCATCATCATTATTTGATGCAGTAAAACTAAATCGATGAAACATTCTGTGTTGTTTTTGTTTCGGTAAATTTCTTATCATTTTTCATCGCCCAAGAAAAAGTTTTAATGCAAATTTAGACGAGCTTTTTGTGTCATCATTTTGACTGATTTACTGAATGGTGAGACAGTATGTTGATTAAGACATTAAGGATGAGAGATGTTCTTACCTTTTGATGTGAAGTATAATTTTTTTTTTTTTGGTTTGTATTTCATTTTATTTGTAAGTAGCCAAGTGGCTGTGTTACAAAATTAAATCATATTTAGCTACATAGTGCATTTTGTTCTTAAAAATTATTATTATTTTTACTAGCATCACAATACATCTTATAGAAACATTCTTTAACCCTAGATTTAAATAAACTTATTGAGAATTTGTTCTTAATTGTCTGCTCGAGAGAATTGTACAATACTAGCCCTCTAATGAAGAAAGTTTGACTACCTAGCTGGGTACGAGTAGCTGGAATAACATAATTTTCTCACTGTCTTGTTCGATTGTTGTGTCTTTCATTGGCAGTTTGAATATTGACACTATTTTAAGCATATTTTCATGGATTTGGTCATGAGTTTTAATGATTTGGCTACGTTTTGGTTTATTAACAATTTTATTTGATGATATTCAGCAGTTTTGAAGCTTCAAGTCTTCTATTATGTATAAATTTGGCAATTAAATGAATAAACCAGAATAAACAAAGTGTTTTTACCCAATATTGGCTAAAATTCTCTGAAAAGTTTTACAATATAAAGTTTAAATTTTAGAAAACTGTTAAAATATTACTCACAGATGCTTACTCAATAACTTGATGTTAGACATAAGTTCTCATTAAAATTAAAGAAACTTTAAATAAATTCTAAAACTGAACTAGAAATTTTGAAGCTATATTTCTGCCTTCAAACTTTTCCTCCTATTATTACGTATATTTGCAGCGAACAGAAAGTCTTCCAAATAAATAGATTACGTAGATGGGATATATAATGTATAAAAATTTTTAAAGAGTAATGCAAGGAAAGAAGAACATGTTTATATACTCATGATATTTCAATGACAAGAAAATGTCACACATGTAACGAATAGAATGTATATATACATCTACAGATAGATATAATTTGTCTACACATTATACAGATTATGTGGTAAAAGCCTGCAAAAATAAAAACAACAACAGTAGTAATGAATATAAAAAAATATAATACTTATCATTACATTACTGTGCGTTCATATGTGTTCAAATCTACACCGCAACACAATATACAATATGTATCAGATGGGATTTCATTATAATTTTTCTCTCTTTTTCTCTTATTCGCTTGTATGCAGAACAGTAATTTGCATTTAATTATAATTTAACAAGAGAAGAAAAAAAAAAGGCGAGAGTTGGAGAGAAATGAGAATATCTGAATGTATAAAAATATAATTTCATGCATTTCTTCACATGACGATCATATGACTATTACATTATACACATCTATCTGTATGTAATTCTATGCCATTGCCTGAAAAATGTTACATATTAACAAATGAACATGTGTATATCATGTCAATGCTTCAATATGATGAGAAACAGTGGAAGCGAAGAATATGAAGTGAAGAAGTCATGAATAATTAGAAAATAATTGTTGTCATTTACAAAGAATAGAGTGATATGTATATAACGATGTATAATTAAAAGAATGGGAGTTTATAACTGTGTGGACATCAAGTTTCAATTTCGAATGGATGGTTTTGTTGAATTGAAATTAAAATCATGTTTCTAATTTGTAACAAGTCAGAATATCATGATAATTGCTTTGGATTGAGTTGTTTGACGCACTTTAAGTCATCAAAACTTAACGGATTTTTAAAATTTTGAAATTTTAGCATCTTTTGATTCATTTATTTATGTTTGATGATTCAGACAAAGTGAATAAGAACACAACTTGCTCAAAAATCGAGAATCCACCAAAAAATCTTTAATTAATAGCAAGTGCCGGCTCGTCAATTCAACAAATAGATATCGATGTTCTCTCTTGAAATAGTTTTTAACAAGAGACATAGAATGTATACTAAATTGACTGCTTCTTCTTTCCCTCGATTAATAATGACTTATTCATTAATTCACAAATGGAAGATAGTTTAACCAAAGACGGCTTCCTTCTAATTGGAAACGAATTTTTTAAAGGGACCATTAAGTTATTACATTTTTCACTCAGATTTTGATTAAGCTATCTAAAATTGAAGCAGAAGAAGAAGACCCTTAAATGAATAAAGCAGCGAGCGTCAGAAAGTCCATTGAAATTAAATTCCAGATACAAAAAAACTATTTATACCATATAAGTTCACAAATTTGTGAGTTTGAAGCTTCAAATACAGAAGTTAGAATAAATTAATAAATTTAGATAATCACTGGATGTGAATGTTTTAATTTTTCATTCTACATTTACAGTAGGTGAGATTGTAATTCATGATGTTGCTGGAGTGAATCTATTCATATGAATTGACTGTTTAAATATGAGTTTCGCGTCGAAAAAGTTGAATTGAATTTTTTTTAAGTCAATAAACTTAGTTCCTCGTGAAATTGTGAAATAGTGCTAGCTTACCATTTATAAGGATATAAAAATTATTGGTGAAAGTGTCAGACATATGCGCTACTGACCGGAACCATAAATTCTATTCTATGAGACACACTGCGATAACGAACAGACGTTGTTTAAAAGCCATGGATAGTGATATTTTCTTCTGGGTAGCATCGAACAAGTTGCTTGAAATAATTGAACACATAAATTTGCCAGCAAATAGTTTTTACCAGATTGTACAGTGGATATAGATGGAATTGATAAGAAGCAATGCAATGGTTGAGAAACTAAAAGTTTGAGGTTAATGGACTCTTTTGTCAATATTAGCATAGAAATTGACCCCACTCTGCTAAGATTTTTTAATATTGAGCAACATATTCTAGTCGTGTCTTGAGACACTTAAAATATTGAAACAAAACATTTCTCCATTATCAACCTACTTAATAATTACAAAATCTCCGAAAAAAATATTTAAATTGCATCAAAATTCATCGTTCTATAAAATAAAAATTGTAGATAATTAAATTCCTTTATAAAGTCATTGTTTGAACATGCATACGCGTATAGCGATAACTTTACACACGAGTGAGAATGAGACGGGGCTAGCTTTGCGCTAGATAGACAAATATCCAATTATTTGTTAATTAGAATAATATTTTATTATGCATAGGAAATATTTCGATTTTTTTCATTACTACAATCGTATTAAAAGAACTAGAAGTAGCTATACAGGAGTGATAGGAAAGAAAATGAATTTAGAATAAACAAATTATTGTTCCTTATATCATGTATCACGTTTAGCATGTTGTGCTTGAAAATGAAGGACTTTATGTATATTTATTGACTGGCTGAGACTTTATTTTCTGTACTAGAACATACAAACATTGTGAATCTTTTATCAGAGGTCGAAGCCGACATGAGTTCGCTCCGGTTCGCTAAAAAACCGATTCAAATTTGAATAGATTTTTTTCTGCTGCCACTTGTGAAGTACAACATTTTATACAAATTTACCGGTTATCGAATCGGTTTTTTAGCGAACCGGAGCGAACTCATGTCGGCTTCGACCTCTGTCTTTTATGCTTTGTTGGATTTTCTAGTAATAATCCATTTAAACTATGTTGGGAATTAAATACAGTTTATTGGAGTTGAAATTAGTTTTCAAGGATTTTGCAGACACTCGCAATTTTTTTCGCATCACTTGCTGCTTTCGCATCTTTTAACTGTTGATTTTGCATCAATTTGTCTTGACACATCAAAACAATCACATCTTTTGGGACCGTTCACTTACGACGTCCGGGGGGGGGGGGGGGGGGGGCAACAAGAAAAGAACAATAGAAATTCCTGGAAATCCATTGTTCTGTTTTTAAAAATGACCGTTAATTTCGGACGTCATAAGTGAACGACCCCTTTGAAAACAGCTGATAAAAAAAATGAAACACTTAAAGTCATAAAATGCGCCAACATCAAACAGCTTTCGACAATTTTCCACTTGCTAAGAATATTTATATTGTTTTATATTTATTTTCGGGGGTTCCACTTTGAATTATGTAAGTTATGTGTATATTGTACATTAAAGTCAGAATATTTCTTTCTTATCGCAAAAGATATGTTATAAAATTTATTTTAATGGCTTTTACCATTTGCTCGTTTGCATTATAATCTCTCTCATGCTTTCTCCCTTAAAATGTAATGTTCAGCATACACAAAACTATATAACATGTTAATTCATTATTAAAAGTCGGACCATCACATAAATTTTTTGATTTTCTTGATTATAATTTTTTTTTTCTCTATTAATTCCCATTACAGAACAAGAGCATGGATATGCAACTAGTTTACCCGTTCCGCATGAAACGTCGAAACTTAGAACGACATCGGTGACGAGTAGGAAATTTTCAAGGGGTGGTAATAGTAGGAAAACACAAGGGAATAGGTAAGTTTATTAAAATAGCTGTCAATTTCTAAGCCTTTCCACTAAATTTCATTTTCATTTTCATTATTACCTTCGTATGTACATGACTATGTGTAATGGGCTTCTATTCAGCTTGGGGTGAGAAATTCAGTTTTTTTTTCTTGTTGTAATAAATTTTGTTTTTTCGGTAGAGCAAAAGAAAGAGATAATTTATGCAGGGAAAATAGGCACATTGTTGACATTGTCCTCAGCTATTTATAATACATACGTATATGTGTGTATACGAATACACGTTTTTCTGTTGATTCATTAAAAGAAATTGACAAAGCAAATTGCTGTAATATGGACGAAGACAATGACTTAGGATTATTACTAATTCCATTCAATTTAATGTTTTTTTTCTGCTGTTAAAACCTTTCAACGTAATTAAAAATTTATTGATTTGTCATTAAAATTAAGCTTTGAATTTTCATTTTGCCTGCTTCGGAACTAAAACGATCTCTTTCCTTTCTACTTCAATTATAAAGTTTGGTGCTGTTATACTGTATGGTACCTAGCTATAAAATGCTATTAACTATATTTCGGCCATAAAAAATATACATTGAATCATATTCATAAATATTATTGTAAAATGTACAATCAAAGCGTCATAAAACAGTTGGTGGTGTTATCAAGCAAGGCTCACACTCACAGAGCATATCTATACCGTTTTTATGGACATTGTTTGAGCAATATTTTATGACTAATATTAAAGTTGTCCTGAAAATTCTAGCCTAGAATTCGAATTTAAAGTAGAATTGTAATTTATTGACAGTAAAAATTCTGCTGGATCATAAAATCTTATTATTTCATCTGCTTTATGTTTTATTGAGTCCTTGAACTGGGATCAAATGTTAAGATTAAAACAAATTGTGAGTTCTAAAGTTAGAATTTCGAAAAGTTTTTGGCAAAGAACATTTTTACATAAATTTGTTACAGGATCTTGCTAAATGTCAATAAAAACGCACAAAATTCTATCAATTTAAAGAATGTATGTCAAAATTAAGATCCAGCTAAAAGGTTTTTAATTTTTTCCTAATATTTATCTCTTGATATCGAACAATATCAATAGTAAAGCTCACAATTCCTTTAATTTAATCGATTTGTCTTATAAAAGTAAGATCCAGTATAATATAAAATAGACATTCAAGACTCGTACTCATTTTTTTCAAAAAGAAATTATAAAGACTAAATCAAATTAAGCACAACAAGAGATATTACGACAGAAGAATTTCCAAGTTCATTAAAACAGGAATTTCAAGAATCATTAGCTACTAGATAGGTCGTAACAAATAGTAATATGTCATTTAATATCTTCTCGATTTTAATTCTATCCAATAAAATGAAATGATTATCTTCAACGAACATGAATTGTTGTCTTGTCCAGACATTTCTTCAAGATATTTACTCAATAGCTCCTAAACAAGTACAATGAATATTTGACTCTTGTAGACATTCGGTACACAAAGTTTATTTACAAATGTTTCGTCCACTCGAGTAAAATTTTATTATCCCTTCCGACAATCAAACAATTCAGGCACAAAATATTGACTTTTTTTTTGCAAAAAGCGAAATAAGTAAAAATGTCAGGGCAATAAAAAGTCATTCCATAAAATCTTCAAATTGACAATATTTTTCAAGGAGAAATATAGTCACACAATTTATATAAATTTAAAATAATGTAAAACATATTTGGAATTGAAAATGGTCTTAAAATTTATTAAAAAGGACCTTAATAAAGATAATTAAGAAGAAGAAGTAGTCACACAATTAAGGGGGTTTAAACGATTATCAATCATTCTCTACATTACATTTGTTTTCTATGCCTTATATTCCCCAATCTCATTAACTATTATTTTCTATAGCTTATGATCGCTCACTTATCATTTCGATGTACACTCTTAATGGACTTGTCTCGGTGCGATAAGATAATTGCATTTTCATATTACCCTAAAAACCTTATCAAGTTTAAATGCATTTTGATTGCTGATAAATTGGTAGCAAAGTTATTGGATATATGAAGGTATAACAACGTTTAAAAGTATCACGTGATTGCTTTAGTCATGTGGTCTATTGTTGTCAATCGATTGTTTGAGATTCAAATATTTCAACTAGAAATTCAAACATTTAACGGCTTTTTAAGCCTACAAATAATTAATAAATTAGAAAACAAGGTAAAATGAAGATCATATCTCATTAGCTCATCCATGAAGGCGTGAAGAATGGAATTTATGTATGACCATAATGACAAATATTCATTTATTATTGATTGATTTTTTTCACATAAAAATTCATTTACACTCTTCATGCTCATTCTCGCTTTCTTCAAAATAAAAAAAAATAAATAAAATGTCTATTTTTAATGCACAGTTCTGTGTATGAAAACAAATTTTTTTGCGCCTCGTTTTTTGACGTTTTATGTCGTCAGCAAAACATGAAAGCGGCCAATTTCCAATTTTTTACATTTTTATCTATTTTCCTGTCTAGATATATTCAAATTGCTTTTTATTTCTGTTTCTAGCATTATTTCATATTTTTCATTCTGCCTCTGGTTTGCCTTTTTTTCTTGTGAGTCGAGTGCGAAGATGAGAAAGAAGAAGAAAGTTTTGTCATTAGATTCTTTCTGTGTCGCTCTTCCATTCAATTTCAATTAAAAGAAGTTAGTGAAAGATTTAGAGATAAAGATATACCGTTCTATCAGGTATAATTTTTATGAAGATATTGTTGAAATTTTTTCCGTCAATTTTTAGCGCGTTTGCGCTAAAGAACGTTGAAGAATGTCTCAAAGAAGATTTTGGATTAATGAAATTTCAAATAAATCTATCAATTTGTATTCATCTCTATAAATTCAATTTACCATAAAATGTTTTTCTCTCTTTTTTTTCAATTCTATCTAAATGCCTATTCTCCATAAATTTATTTGAATATTTTGATTAAAATGAAAAGTTTTTCCATTCAATCGGAGCAGGAAAGACTACGAGAAACACATTAGAGATAAATCCAGTGATGCTACGAAATGGAATTTAACAATTCATGATGAGACGAAAATTTCGGAATTGCTCAATCGAGAAAATCTTGAAAAAATAACTTTTTGGCGCGAAAATATTTTAAATACAAATTAGTTTTGAGTGTGAGTTATTAAGTGCTATGGGATAGCTTGTTTTAGTTTAAAAGGAGTGAAGATTGAAATTTTCAACAAGATATTTTGACAATCAAAGTTTAAAAATTCAAATTTTTGAAACCCGTTAAATTTTTTTAAATTCTTCAAAACCGTTAGATTTTTAAATATTTTAAAACCTTTTTCTTTTCAAAATTTTACAAACCGAAAAAAGTTTCATAAAATTATGAACCGTTAAATCATTCTTCCATAGAAACAATCATTTTTCAAATAATTCACATGACCTTGAAATCAACCTTAACCTTGAAATTCAGCAAAAGCAGGAAATGCGTCTTAATTGCATGCTTAGTAGCTAGAATAAAGGCTTTCTTCTTCTTCCTGTAGTTTTGTAAAAAAAAAAGATTCATCTACGAAAAAAAGCTGAAAGGAAAATTTGAAAACCTGTGCACGAACACGTCGTCAGCCCAAACATAGCTATCGAGTGAAAGAAAAGAAAATATAAAAAAAATCGATAAGACATTTGCTAGAGTGTAAGCATTTGTCATCATCGCAAAAGGTGTTTACGTGATTGTGCATATTGTATCTATGCATATATATATACACAATTCGTTCACACATCCCTTTCTTAATATCTTATCGCAACTCTATCGCGTTTAACAAATAAATCATTACACAAACTAATTACGATATTTTTTTGTAATACGTGCTGTGATAAATTATGTATTATTCTGTATTTATTCTCATACAGAGAAATCTTATCGCTTACAATCTCAGTCATTTTTTTCTCTTTGTTCCTTTCTACCCCGACTAGATACAAAACAATATGAAATATTTACTTATTTTCTTCTTGATTTTGAACTCCTTCCGCCTGATGTGTACACAAAATTTGCTTACTCATATTATGAATGTTATAAGCATATAGATACACACACGCACATTGTATCTGAATGCTTTAATATAAATTTGTTATCACATACATTATCGACAGATTTGCGGGAAAAAAAGCGAGAGAGATGAATGAGAATCTCCCCATGAGAAATGAATGTCTTGAGGATTTAATTTTTCATTTGTTATTCTTTTCGTTCTCCTCTTTATTTCGGAAAAAAATAAATTTGCAAGCATGAGATATCATCACAGTATTAGTCTACTCAATATATGTATATATACGATACACATCATTTCTAGCACATTTCTCATTCTGGCAACGATGCAATATTGCATTCCACTTTGGGATTACAAAATTGGCTGATATATCTAGTGAATTTTCAGTTCTTTTAAAAGATTCAAATTATTTTAAATTGAACTTTTGCTCGCTTCTGAAAAAATGATAAAGTTACTAGACAAAAACAGTTTTTTGAAGATCAAAGTATTATACTTCTAATCTGTGCCACTTTTTTACTCACTTTGAACTTATCAGTCTTTCTAAATTCGATATCTATGCCTTTGTATTCTAGATTTATAAATTTTAGTGATGAAAATCCGCCATTTTGTTTTTAAAACGAAATTCTTAATATTTAAATTTTATAAAATCGTTATAAAGTAATTGAATTGCTTACGTGGAATCCCAAAGCTAATTTCACATACAATGCGTCAAAAAAATTAAATTTGAATCATTTCGTAAAAAAGTAATACAATTTTGATTTACAGAAATTCACAAGAGAAATAATCTACCTATAAACAGAAATAGATTACGTGACTTGGGGAATTTTTATTAGATTTGCGATTCAATTTCTTAAGAGATAAGATTCGAAAATTTCGCAGTATCATGTATGCTTACAAAAATCCATAAATTCATAATAAAAAATCCCAGCCTCTATAAAAATAAATTATGCGCCTTAGTCAGTCAACCGAATAATAAAGCAGAAAATTTATCTGACTAGTCTTGCAACAATTGCGAAAAGTTAAAGATAAAGACGAACAGAAAAAGAAGAAAATTGACATAAAAAGTTCAGAAATGTCGCCTCCTAATTTTAATTTTTTCAACAAGTTTGTTGCTTTAATCAGCAAAAAAAAAAGCTAGCATAGTTTATGGAAACTGATCCAAATCTCAGTCGTATATGCATAAATTCAAGACATACTGAAAAAATTGAGAGAGCAAAGAACAAGAAGAAGAAAAAAATGAAAATATACGAATTGATTAAAAAAAATTATTTTGATTCACATGAAGCGATCGTTGAACTTTTGTTTTTTTTTTTTGAGGAAAAAATTCATATTCTTTTCAGTAAATAACGAGAAAGAGAGAAAAATAAATGTTTATACGCAGCAAAAAAAAAAGATTGAGAGGAAAGAAAATAGAGACAGAGTGGAGTTTGTAAAGTAAATGAAGAAGAAATGCGTATTGCATACATACAAGTATATTAATCGCACTAAATTGCTATTGAGATTTACGATGGTCGTTAGGAGAGTGGCTTAAGAAAGGAATTTTTAATCCTCTGCTTTAGTCATTAAACAACTTTTTTTTTTGGCCATGATTGAGGAGATTTCTTTTGGGAAAAGGCAATTGACTTTTCGAGCACTTTGTTTTGATGATCTGGGGTGTAATACTGTTGGCCGGCATCTTTTGCCAGCCCCCTCCCACCAATTTTTCTCACTATCACCATTAATGAGCAAAGCAAAACTACATTATTTCCCGCTTGAAAAAATTCCCCAAAAAATAATTACATCAACATCTCAAAACTGCCAACAAATCACAAAATGTTCAAGCACGTGTATCTCGTCCAAGTCAACAACACGAGTGGGATATGAGAAATTCATATAAAATATTTTTTAATCTATCACAATTTCTCATCTTTCATTCAATGTTCAGTCACAAAAAAATTAGCAAATAAGTTCTTCATATAAACAACCACATGACACAATGCCATAAATGGTAGACTAATAATCATGAACATTCGATTCTTCTGTTTGTAAATTAAAATAGGAATCGTAATACTTTTACTACATTATAAGTTATACTGTTTGATCATGACTAGAAGACATGATTCGCGATTAAATGGACTATAAAAACCTAGTTATGTGGTTTCAATGAGTGTAGATTATAAAGAGCTTCAAAAAGTGTTCAAAAGTGACGTTTAAGTCTCCCAAATAACTTGACATCATATCCAATCGACCCCATTTAAAAGCCCAAAATAAAATACACAACAGCTAATAAAACTTCAAATTTTTCCTATTCTATGGCTTCTTACACCAATTTTTCTTGTTAAACGTAGAGCCAATAAATCATCAAGTCATTCGCTTTAATGATTACTTTCTAGCAAAATTGTAACTTCGTATGGAATACCAACAATTAAATTATATGGCTTTTAAAAGTCACGACTCCTTTGTATTCTAATTCTAATTAACAATTATCTTTTTATGGATTGTTTATAAGCTTAAAAAAAACAGTATTAAATAAATTAACTTATGTAAACAGGGAGTAAATTTTTTTTGAATTTCGTAATTTTTTTATGTTTCAAAAAGTTTATTTAATTAAGTAAGATAGATTTTTATCACTGCTCGTAGATTTACGATTGATTATAAGATAGCTACCATCCTCTAGCTACTAGTTTCTAGTTACTAGCTATTAAGACACTGGCTTCTAAGCTACTAGCTACTAAGTTACTAGCTACTAGCTACTAACCTATAAGTAATCAGCTTCGAAGTTCCTAGCTACCAAGTTACTAGCTACTAGCATCTAAGTTACTAGCTACTAAGCTACTAGCTACTACCTAGTTTGATACTAGCTACTAGCATCTGAGTTACTAGCTACTAGTTTCAAGTTACTAGCTGCTAGTATTTATGAACTAGGAGCCTCTGTCATGGGCTATTTGAAGGATTGAAGGGAGTATAAGATTAACTTTAAACCAATTTAAACAATTATCAAGAACTTTCCCAAATTTCACAAAGCTAATTAATCTTCAAAAAATTCAAATTACTCCTCTAATTTGCTCTTAAATATTTATTTGATCGTGGCTAATTCGAAATGTACACAAACCATTTTTTATTATTCATGTAGAATCATAAACACATGTTCAGATAAACTTTTCAATTCAAATATTGAGGCATGACTTTGACAGAAAGTTTACAAAGCTGACAATGAAAACTACTTAAAAATCACACAACTGAAACATTAAAATAAATAATCGATTTGAAGTAAGTCGTTTAATGAGAACTTTCCCATTACATTTAACTGTTACCCCGCCAACTATGTACACGTGTCTTTTCTTCCATTATTTTCGTGCAGCTAAATAGAAATATCTTTTATGAAGAAGCAACGCAAAATGGTATTAACAAGGAATGAAGAAAAGATAATGACGCTTTTTAAGAAACAAAAAAAAATATATAAAACATAAAATAAAAGAAATGAAAAGAAAGAAGATAAAAATACTAAAGTTCTCTTTTACATTGTTTTATGTCGTTTCAGGTCAACTCACAACGAATTGGAGAAAAATAGGTAAGGTTAATTTTTAACATTTCCACTAGCTTTTCGATTTCTTTATTATATTTTTTTCAATGGTGCGCTACCGTTTAATTCGACATATGTATGTGTCTGTGGGTGCGTTGGACGATTTTCAGTACTATAAAGAATATGGCAAAATATCAACATTTTTTTTATGGATTGAAAGTTACGTGATTGTGTTGAAGCGGAAAATTTTTCTTTCCATTTCTGAAATGAACTTTTAATAAATCAAGTTTTCACATCAGGAAAAGTCATTGAAAAATACTTTTGAGTTTTTGATCGATTTTTGTTGTTAAATGCTTGTTTTTCGTCACTTTGTTGTGCTGCTCATTTTGTTAAGCTTCTTATAAAGTACAAGCTAGCTTCAACCCTAGTTTAAATTCAAAAATTCCGTTTGAACTTAATTTTTAATCATCAAAATCAAATTAGAAAGTTCCAAATTAAAATACGCCCTAAAAACCTCATCTGGATAACGATTTGTACACAAGTTTTACAACAATTAATTCGACGAAGAAAGTTTTTACTGAAAACAAACGAAATGCTTGCTTATTTTTGATTATACGGTCACATGTTACGTGTTGTTTACTTCGCAAAAAATAGTCGCAAATTTGATATTATAATTAAATTGAAATTAATTTTGAAAGCTTGTTGAAAGCATGTCAATTTCTCGTATTACAGTAATTACAGTAGCTGCAGTTACTTCTTGCTTTTTAAATATATATAAAAAAAATTAAATACGAATTAGTCGGAAAGTCTCTTTTTTTGGATTATTTAATTCAATTAAGCTCACCACATTCGAGAGAATTACATGCTTTTGAAGTTGGATTAAATGCTATTGCTAAGGTTTCCATTTGATGGAAATGAATTTATCCTTAATACCTCAATGATATACATTTTTTTGAGGATTTTCGGAGAATATAAAGAATAAAGAACTTAACATGTTGCTAAGCTGCAAATTCTTTCTTTATTCAAATGTTTCCAAGGTGCTTACCATAAGATCATTTACCGTAGGCTATCATTAGTCATCGACCAGATGATTTTAATTTCCATTTCCGCTCAACAATAGCCGGTATGGTCAACAACCGGATAGTTATGAGCCCATTATTCAATTGTCTGAGTAGACATTAACTTACCAGATGACTTTTTGATTAGGAATGCAAAATTATTTTAATATTTTTCTTATCAATTCATGACCGAATGCTTAAATGTCATTATTATTAGAAATAAATATAAATCAAATACGATTGCAAATTAAAATTGCAAAACAACCTAAATATAGTTCAAGTAAGCAATAATAAAACGACGAACTGAGTAATGTGAATGAACTCATATCAAATTAAATAAATAAATAAAAGAAATATGTACAACGAGAAAAAAAATGTGTAGATATATGTGAATTTAAGCTGAAGGGAAGTATAAAACTCTTAAACGATCTTACGAATTTATTTGCTTTGTTTTGTGGTTTTTTGTTGGAATGGGGCGATAGTCTTGGACTGTCTGAATTTCTGCTGCTTAATTTATAATTTGTACATCATTTATTTGCTTATATTGATGTAAATATGAGCAATTTCAAATAGAAAAGGATTTTAATAACATTAGTACCAGTTATACGTGAAGTTGGCTTCAGATGAAAATTGTGCATCATTTATTTGCATAAATCGATGTAAAAATGAACAATTTCAAAAAAAAAGGATTTTAATAAAACTAGTAACAGTTATACGTGAAGTTGGCTTCAGATGAAAATTGTGCATCACTTATTTGCATAAATCGATGTAAAAATGAACAATTTCAAATAGAAAAGGATTTTAATAAAACTAGTAACAGCTATACGTGAAGTTGGCTTCAGATGAAAATTGTGCATCATTTATTTGCATAAATCGATGTAAAAATGAACAATTTCAAATAGAAAAGGATTTTAATAAAACTAGTAACAGCTATACGTGAAGTTGGCTTCAGATGAAAATTGTGCATCATTTATTTGCATAAATCGATGTAAAAATGAACAATTTCAAATAGAAAAGGATTTTAATAAAACTAGTACCAGTTAAACGTGAAGTTGGCTTCAGATGAAAATTGTAGCAGCCTAAAATCAAAGCAACCGATTCAAATGTGATTTTTGGTTGCAAATACAAAGTAAGCTTCCTAACCTCTAATCAATAAGGTTCATACTACTCAAGTTTCTATTTTTACTGAGAAGTAATATTAAATGAAAATGAGAGAAGGAACTTATCAGTAAAACCAATGTAAGGAAGAAAAAAAACTGGGCGAGATTTTTGTTTCGAGAGTGCCCATAAATTAGCAACGTTAAAAGTTTCTTTCCTTTCTATCGCGCTCTCTCATACTCCTTTTTAAGTACAACATTAGTTCATTAAAAAAATATTGTTTGTAAGGGAATAACTGTAAACCATACTCAAGAGATTAATATTGCATCTGACAAAGCTTTTAGTTTACTTAAATTTTTGTTCACTGTACATATTATTATTACTTTTTTTTTGTGTGTTTGCGGGGTAAAAATATACTTTGAGGAGTAAAAGATTAAAAGTTTCGAGCGAGAGAAAAAAGAACTGGAGAAGCTTATTATGAAAATGTGCAGGAAGTATAAGGAAAAACTTATAACGATAAATTTTCTTAACTTTCATCACATTTATTTGCTCTTTCTGCTTTCCTCTGCAAATCCACACACATAAACACACAAATACCTTCTTTCTTTTTTTTGCTTGAACATTTTACATTTTAATAGCACAACTTTATCTACTTCTTGTTGCTGTAACATTCTAAGAATGAGTCTCTTCAAATAATGTTTGAGTTTATTCATGAATTCTGAAAAATTTCTGAGTTATGCTTAATAATTATTTGCATAATAACTTTTATCAAGTACGAGGAAGCACTGTAAATAAAGAATGGAAGTTTCTGCTCGTTTCTACAGTTTTATGGCTGCAAAAAGACGTAATTTGATGAAAAAGTTCAAGTAGTTTAGTTTTTAAATTAATTCGTGGATATTCATTGAATTAAATCCAGTTGGAACTAGAATAATATTCTAAGGAAGCTATAATCTACCTCTTTAGCTACAACAAATCCCATGTTCAAATATATTGAAACATCTAAAACACTGTTTTGAATTTCAAAGATTCCAGAAATTGTCAAAGTTTACGTGCCTAAATTTACATAACTGTAGTTCCACCCTCACAAATCTGTTCACCTTACACAAAAAATAAATAAATAATATATGAGGAAACAGCAAAACATTCCTCAATAAAACTTGCATGAAAATCTTTGCAAATGAGCATTTCAATTATTAATGCAACAAGAAAATTCTAGTGTGAATGTAAAGAAAAGAAGAAAAAGGTTGGAATGAAACATTGCAAGATAAATAAATAAATAAAATAGAATACAAACTTGTCAACATGTTGAAAACAAACATGAAACAAATGTCTTGGAATGAATTTTATGTTTGGTAATTTATGTGACATGAACTTACATGCAGTTGAATAACACCTGGAAACTGTTGGAGTTGTTATGTAACTTCATCTGTTTTAAATTTTAATCACTTAACTTCAAAGATTGCTTTGATTGAAAATTCAACAAAAGTTGCAACAGAAATTTATTTTTTGACTTCAGCCAACTTCAAGTCGTAAAATTCAAATTTTAACGAATTATTGTAGAAAAAAAATCTTTCGAAATTCCAATCCACACAAAATTCAAGTCAAGCATGACAAAAATGTCATTTTCATCCCTCTGAAAATTTATTTTTGCTTGAAAAATCGCAAAGAAATTTTCTTAATAATATTTATAGCAATATCAATTGAACCTTGAGTGCTGAGAAAATTGAATAGACCTGAAATTGAAATAATTGGATTGAGAAGAAAAAAAAACTCATCGAGGCCATTCAAATGATTTCAATATAATTGCCATATACACTTCAATGCAGAAAAGAAAGAATGTGTCTAAATATACGCAAGTCCAAAGCCCCGATATAATTTTTCTACAGTAACTAAGAAAAGCAAATTCCTTTCTTTTGTATATCAATGCAAAGTAATGCCTCTCTCACACCATGAACACAAATAAGGGAGCGAAATGATAAAAAGTATTTCCTTTTTTTTTCTTATCCTCCTGCCTTTTTAATAAAATATGCAAATAATAACTTCAAGGAAGAGAAAATAACAGCAAAATTTATCTTTATCTCCATGACAAAAACAGAATATAAGGATAAGAAGAGAAAAGAAATTGTAAGATGATGAGTAAGAGTGGATGGAGAAGGAAAGTAGGAAAAAGAAACTTTTCTTTTCACGCAATACGGTGGATGAAAAATGTCAAAGAAAATGAATTGATAATTCTCAGGTCATCAACTTCCATGCTCTCCTGTGGATATCTGAATATTGTAATTAATTCGAGGAAGTGGGCAGCTTAAAGAAATTCAAGTATTCCAAAAAGGAGGGTTGAATGGATCAGTAAACATTTAATGAAAGAATTTATTGAATTCTACGAATAAAATTTCATTTAAAATAAATCAGATTTGTTTCTATTTGAAATCTTATCATTTTTTCGTTAATCCATCAGCTTTAATTAAACTCTTGGGAAGTTTTTGATGTGATGAAAATTATGTCTTTAATGAATTTCGGTTGAATATTTGAAATTTTAATTAAATCAGTAGCCTTTGCAAAACTGGTTGGAAAACAAGTTTTTGTTCAAAGAGTTGATTTAAGTGGTTAAATTGAAGATTTAACAAGTTTAAGTAATTTATTACAGTTTCCTATAAGATAATATTTAGGTTTAAATAGTTTTTGACAAGAGAAACTTAGTAAAAGACCTTAAAATTACGTGGGAAATTATGTAATTCAGATTTAATTGTCGAATCACATTTTTGGAAATTTGAAATCGTAAATTAGCAAACCTTATTCGTTTGGATCAATCTTCTGTTTGAAGTAAGTGATTTATTTATTAATTTTAAAGGTTTCAAGTTATTCATTATTGTATTTTTAAGGCATGAGTTTTCAACTTTATTTTTCATTTATTCGTTTTATTTTTTGTCAAATCTTGCAAAATAAGAAGATATATAAGTTATTGAAAAAGATTAAGGAAATTTTTATTATTAGAGGTTTTTACAATCTTTAAGACTCACTTTAATTTTTAAGACATTTGAATCACCGAAAGCTTGCTTCTGCAATTTTAAAATCCCACATAAAAATTCATAATAAATTTTATTCCTCGCATTCCAGAGGCACTATACGAAATTCCTTTAGACAACCGAAATGATTTCCAAGAAAATCATCACGTGGAAGTTGTACTCAGAAAATTCTTCGAGAGGAAAAAAATTTGTTTATTTTCCGAGACGTTTTCTTATTCTATTCTGCCGAAAAAAAAAGTTATAAGCGATTTAATTTCTTAAGCTAGATATATTCATTACGTTGAACGGAAGAAAGTTATTAAAAAAGTATAATTCGATATCGTAGAAAAGGAAAATTTCTCCCCAAACGTGAAAATTTCTTTTCTTCTTCTTGATGCTATTTTTCTTCTTTTGTACTGTTGCACGGATGAAAAATATTCATGCAAAATAAATTTTTATTGAATTTTCATGAAACTTATTTTCACTCTACGTCTCTCATCTTCTCGAGAATGAGGATAGAAATTGTATATTTATACATTTTATAAAACTCAATGTCGATGCATAAAGAGAGGTAGAAAATGTGTGAGCATGCAGACGGAGTATCATCATGCAAATGTGCTCTAGCTAAAATGCATAGAGATGATATTTAAGGAGTATATTAATAGGTTTTTCACAGTGATTGTTGAAATGCAAATTTTCTCTCCATTCCTCTCATCATGTTTCACAAAAATAGTAAGATGTGATGCTTAAGTGTTTATGGTGAAAGTGCATTTTTATGCTCTTAGAAAATTATTGTCATAAAATATCACTGGTGTAGGAAGGAATCTAAGAGATAGAATTATGTCTTTTTATTTTACTGATTTATATGAACTTTAAAAACATGTAAACAAAAAATTGTTTTTACAAAATTTAACAAATTCGATTAAATTTTATAACATTAAAGTATATCAACACTTCATTGCTATAAATTTCAAATGAATAGAGTGCTTATAAAGGCATTTCTAAGCGGCATTGATACAAAAACTTAAAATCAAATTTTTAAGTGGCGAAAATAAAAAAAGCGGGAACTTTTTTGTTTATAAATATAAATTTTATTGAAAATCTTGTTTCTTAACTTTAGAAATAGGCTCTGTCAAATATTCAGCCTTTTGTGACAAAATGAACTCAACAGCACAATAATACCCAAAACTTGCCATCAAAAACACGTATAAAAATTTTCGAAAGGAGACAGAAAATGATATTTATTTACAAAAACTCTTGAGAATTCATAGATTGAAACATCCATAGATTGTCTCTAAAGTGCAATTTCTATTTTGTGCAATTTTCTATCCATATTTTCACTTCATAGTCATCATCGTCTGAGAAACTATTATTTTTTTTTTGTATATTCATGTACTTTCCTCACTTGGTATATCTCATGTGACTCAATTCAACTTAAATCCATAGAAGTTGATATGATATGTCATATACGAAGAACAGATCTGAAGATGTTTAAGGAAAAGGAAAATTCTCAATGCGCACATGAATTTATTGAATCTACATGCATACATGACACATGCATAAAATGCAATTCAATTATCATTAAATTATTCAATCACAGACAAAAATAGAGACTTTAAATCATTCATGCAGAATGTTTACATGCGCACACATAAACATATTTTAAAATTCAAATTGACCATAATGGAATAAATGTTTACAATATTATCGAAATATTCTATAGCATTTTCTTTACTTCCATTCTTTACAGGAGAGCTCACTTACGTAGCTGTTTAGAAAGACTGAAAGAAATCGTCCCACTTGGCTCCGATACGAGTCGACATACGACACTAGGATTGCTCACGAAAGCAAAACGATTCATGAAGGTGAGTCAAATGAACAGACACAACAACAACACAAAATGACATACAGCACAAAAAAAAATTAATGGAAATGAATGAAAGAGTCGTGCGGAACTTAATCAAATTAAAGTGGAATTAAACGCAAAGAATTTTTAATTATGATTTCTGCATGAGTTTCGACTTACATACAAGGGAGACATGATACTCGTGTGGAGTCGACGGTATATCCGAATGGTTGGGGATTATAATTTTTTTTATGATTTTTCATTCGAGAATCATCACAAATCGTATGGATCCCGCATTCCAAAATATACTCCAGACTGAAATCAACGTCAATTTGATAGATTGGATATCACCCAGGATACAAACTCCATCCACAATTTAATAAACAAAAATAACTTTTCATCAGAATTTGTCATATTCACAAGTCTGTATTCAATTGATTGCATGACTTTTAATTCCATCAAAAACAAAAAATTCAGCAGAACTATCACGTCACAAAAAGTAATACTAACTTCATAACCATGCACAGCAATGACAGGGAAAACGAGAAAAGCAGTCAAAAGTTTCATTGGTTCTTTTTTTTTCATTCTTCTTTGTTGACTAAAAAGTAATTTTTTATATTTTTGGAATTTGATACATGAACAAGAGGGTTGGAGCAAGTGAGAGAGAGAGAAGTAAATGAATAGAAGCAGTAGAAACGTGAAAGTTGGAAAAATTTATTCTCTTTTATGATCATAAATTTTTGCATTCATGCCATTTTTATTGTTGTGCTGCAATTCAACCAACAATGAACTTTATACTTTCATATTTAAAATTCGTGAACAATTGCTGGAAAATTTAACAAAATAAACTTCAGTTGCCAACTTGGTAGTTTGATTGTTGATTCAAATGTTCGGATAAGGAGGGAATGGGTAAATGCAAAGCTTGGACACGTCTTCTAGCAAGTGTCAACAATTTATCTGATGTTTTGTTATCATTCATTGCTGTTGGAAAGAATCAAATTATGAACTTAATTATTGTTTTGTCTGAATTTTGATGGGCAAATATTCCAATTTTAAAATTGTGATCTAAAGCAATCTGAAACTTTTGAGGTAAAGATCACAATGCTTATTTATTAATAAGTATAATTAAAGACTTTTTACTGAAGTCAAAAACAGAATAAACATTTCTATCAAGGGGATCAACAACTTTAAAAAAGGGAAAAACAACTAGTTGTATAAGAAAATATAATTCAAATATAAAATTACAGTTGATACATTCTCAACAGTAACTGCATTAAGGGCAAATCTACGAAAGACTTTTTTGTCAAAAAAATCAATTTTTTGCAATTTTCTCGAAATTGGCTTATTGTTTTTGGTTCTTTTACTTTTATATTGTGTAGAAACTTGATAGTCACTGTTTTGAATTATGAGAACTTTTGTACATTAATTAATTAATGAGTTTTTCCTGTTTTAAGAGCGTTTACCTGTCAATATTATCGAAACTGAATTTTTTTATTCTTTAGTTTTCTCTTTAACTAGCCATTTTAATATCACAAAATGGATCTCATAAAATTTTCGCTCCTATTAGCTTCCATTATGTGCTCTTATTATTTAAAATAATGGGTTAATTAAAGAGATATTTGCAAAAAATAGCGTTTTACTGTCAACATTACAACCTTTTATTGCAAAACACAACTTAATTTGAAACTGAAAATTCCGTTAAAATTTATCAATACTCAAAATATGTTTAATCAAATATGTACATTTAAAGCTGAATACAATTTTGAAGTCTTTAATTTACAATTTGTTGATGTTTTTAAAAGATGAATTAACGTAAAAAGGGAATTAAACCCAATTTCATTTAAAATTTAACGGTTTTTTTGAATTTATCAAGTTGAGAAAAACTTCAAGTCGATTTTTACAGTATCGTTTATTCATAGATTATCCCTTAAGTCCAATTATCAAGGAACATGAACTATCTTTTACTTCAGTGTTGCTCCAAGTGACACATTAATACACGCATCATTAGTAAAAATACTCATTTGAGCTCTCAACTTTCCACTTGAACATGCTTTTTCTGTTCTATCCTCAAATGACCCAGTGAATCCATAAAACAGAAACAGAAGCGAGACAATTTCATACCAATTATAAATTTCTATTCTAGAGAAAGCAATAGCACATGTGAATATGTCTCTTTGTGGGCAATTTCCATTTCCGAAATACGTGCATGAATGTGTTTTATTTCCAAAAAAGAAATTTTCATCTTTTCTTTTCCCTAAATGATGCAAATTGCCGTTTCTGTAAAAGCTCTATTATTTCTCATAACATATTCCATTCTATATCCACTCGAACAGAGCTCCGACATCACATTAACACAAAGCAGAGAAAATTAATTAATGTTCAAAAATTGAAAATACATTTTGCAGACTGCAATAAAATTTTATATCCCACCATGAGCATGTTCGAGTATTATTATTATTTTTTTGGGGAATATGAGGAATAAAAATCCTCTCTCACACTTTTCTGTATGTAATTAGAATTGATGATGAACAATAATTTGTTACGGTGAATGTGCCAAATTGAATTGTCGTTTGCTGTCGTCCAATTTATATCATTCGCATATTCAGATATCCATTTTTGTTATACTTATATTAATTTTCATGTCTCTTTGAGATATGTGTGGAATGAAAAATCATGAGATAGCTCTGTTGACGGCAAATTATTGCTAGGGTTGATTTTTATTATAACATCGAGTTTCAGGTAGTTGCAGCGCTTTGTGCCTTAAGTAAACAAAGATTCTTTTATATCTTCTAAGAACTGAGATTAAAAATAGTTGAAGCTGATACTGTCAAAATAAGAGGTACTGTGCTAAAAATCTAAAATTTTCAAAGTAATGCAACGGGGCATTCAACTTTCAAAAACGTTAAAGCAAAATTTGAATTTAAAACGTTCATTAAATCTTACATTTTTTTAAAAAAATCCCCACAATCTTGAGGGATAGTCACTCACTTGAATAATCAGCTATAGAATCCCACCTCTCCTTCTAGAGCCTATTAAATATTTAAAAGCATCAAGTCAAAATATCCCACAACAACAAGAAAAATTCAAGAATTTTTTTTTCAACATTTCAATTAACTTTTGACAGTCACCCAAACCGTATCAAAAAATCCAATCCAATCTGTGAGGGAGAATAAAGTATGAAATAAAAAATAAAAATTGTTTGCAAATATACATATTATTCGTAAACATTCTTATTTATCAAAAGCGAGAGAAATTCTTTTCATTGTGCTTTCTCGCTATCGGGATCGGGATCGGGATTTCCCGGGATTTACCGATCCCGATCAATCCCGGGATCCCGAAATTTATCGGGATCGGGATTGAAAATCCCGGTTTTTTAATTTAGGAAATTATTGATGTTTTAGAGCCTGCTAAATACGCGACAGAAGAATTATTGCGTAAATCAGACGATTTATTAATTGCTGAAGGAACAATTAACTTTTTGCTAGACGAATTGTTGCTACAAGGAACATTATTGTCTCAAAAGGTTTACGATATGAATTGCGCTCGCATAGGTGCACGAAGAAATGGAACATTAATTGACTTAATACTTTACCTCAATATATTTCTTTAGACAAGCATTTTAAATCGTCAACAAAAGCTGCAATACATAAACTTGGCATTGACTTATTGAAAAAGTATTTTGTCAAAAACTCTACAAATGGAGCTATGGAAGCTTCAACATCCAGTGCAAATCAAATCCAACCGTCAAACATTTCTATTCGAGATAGACTGAAACTAAGCATATCTGAATATACATCATTAACAACAGATGCAGCAGCAACAGAACCAAATAACTTGAAAAGAGAGTTTAATTGGTATGACAAAAATAAGAAGAGAACCGTTTTGTTAGATCAACTTTACGATGCATTGATAACAATGCAGCCGACCTCAACTCAAAGCGAACGAAATTTCTCTATTAGTAACAACATTCTTACAAAACAAAGAAAACGTTTACTTGACAAGAATCTAAATGCAATTGCATTTGTTAAAAGTTTTTTCATTAATGCTTAATTTTTATTATTATATTCACACCGTTTTCTATAACCTTTAAACTTACATCTTTATCAACATTTATTTTCTATTTTTGTTTATGTTCACATTTTTCAAAGGAAACATGGATTAAAACATCTACCTTGTAACACATAAATTATAACTAATTAATTAAGGAATAAATGACCGTATAAGTAGCAAAAAAATATACAATTTTTTTTGGAAAAAAAAGCAGAAAAATGCTGTTTTTTAAATTTTTTTACATATTCGGGATTCCCGGGATTTCCCGGGAAATCCCGAAAAATTTCAATCCCGATCCCGATCCCGAAAATTTGTCGGGACCGGGATTTCGAGAAAGCATACTTTTCATGCCTCATGCCACTTGACAACAATTAGTTGCACAGAGAGAGAGTGAGGAAAAAATTCGTATTGTATAGCAATGGAGTGGAGGGAGCAAAAAAAATGTATAAAATACATGTGCTACCGTAGAGCTCGTGTTTCCCTGCATAAAATAATATTGTCATCATTTCGTGTACAAAAACAAATTAAAAATAGAAATGAAAAAAAAGGGGAAAAGAGAGAGAATGAGAATTTTTAAGCTGAGAATGTTTTAGTTATACAAACAATTTTTTTATTATGATTGTCATATTCATATAAAAAAATTTTATTTCTGATTTCATATGTGAACTAAGTGCAACTGAAAAACTAATGAGAGAATCACCTTAGGACAGGTTTTCAAAGCGCAATGCAGTCTTTGTCCGAAGAATTCTCAATGGTCATTTGATATTCAAAGTTATAAATATGTCACTGGCTATTTGGTTCCTCTATTATTGACATTATTGCATATCTTAAGTTGATGTAGAGTCTACCCTAGTCTGACCTGTAACCGATCAGTGATCTTAGAACTTCTCTGAATCTATAAAAATTCAGGAACCCTCCAAAAATTGAGACTCTTTAAAGCCGGCTTGATAACAATTGGGAACCAAAATAGACAAAACCACGACGAAAAGCATTCATTCCACAAAAACCTGCTTACTAAAAATTTTTTTGACAAATGAATTTATTCTCTAATTTCAGAATCTGGAGCGCAAAGAGAAGCATCAAGCGATGCAATTAGAACAATTAACTAAAAAACAAATATTTCTGAAATGGCGTTGTGAGCAACTGATTTCATACAATGAAGCACTTTGCAAGAGACGATCTGTATCGGAATGTTCTACCTCTACCATATCGAGTACAAATTCATATGAACTTACTAGATCATCGTCGTCCATTTGTGAATCAGGTATGTGTAAAATAAATTTACTTACACATGGTTTCATTAGCACAATGTGTATTATTATGAGAGGAGGTATTTACATAATTCATACTGTATGTATGATTTTTTGTGTGCTTATGTACGACTTGCCAACTGAACCTTTAACTCTCTTTTCAACCTTACTGTGTTTAATTTTAACATGCAAATTTATTGACAATCTCATTGCGCTCAAAAAAGTTTTTCATGCCATCCATAAATACGTGTGTGTTTAATAGCACTTATTCTTTTGAGGAATTGACTTAATTGTCTACACGTTGTCAAATATTCTTAGTTCTGGCTATTCAAATATTTTTTAATCGTTAATTTTTCAAATATTTTATGACCGTTATTTTTCAAACAAAGTCATCTATGCGAGGTTAATGCGCCTTTGTCAGTAGTCAGCAAACATAATTTCAATTATTTTTTTATGTTTCAACCACTTGTGCTTTATAATTATCAAACAGAATGTTAAAATTTTCATTTTTTTATACAATACGTTTTCTCTGTTTTATTTCATTCCGCTGTATTATATATGCTATAGCGGGCTTATAGAGCTATGGCAAAGAAAATGAAAAAATATTTACATTTTAATAAAGAATGAATATTATTTCGTTATAAGTACGGCCGGCACATAAAATGATGTAGATTTGTTTAGATTGATAAAAAGGCTCTAGTATGAAGAGGAATAAAGAATGGAATTTAATGATGTTGTTGATATAGCAAAGTACTTCGTGTTCTAGCATTAAAGCACTCATATATCTGCTACTTATTATCTATGAAAATATTTGCAAGGAGTTGGTGCGGAAAATTTTGTATTTTTTTTTTTGTGAAATGTTTGGCATTTGGATAGTTGATTTGTAGTCAAGATTACGGACATTTAAGGAACCAAAAAACTGCTTTTGATGAGTTTTTCTCAAAACAACAAAAAAATCTTAAGTTCAGTTTGCTAATTTCGGACACAGAAGCTTAAAAATTGATGTCGAGTCATTTCTCTTGTCAGACAAATCACAAGAGAATCCTCAACGCTACCCTTTCCTCTCATTTATGTAAACAACATTGTCTAATTGCAAATAATTTGTCTAAATTTAAACAACAAATTTGAAGAATGTCAGGACAAGCTCACATTTTCTAATCGCATTTTTAAACATTCCAATAAAATCTCCATTTGCTGGTTCGTCTCCGGTATATTGCATAAAATTCTCATTTCCACTTAAAACTTTGTCATTATGCAAGAAAATAGTCATCAAGCGAGGCAAAGGGGTTGCTCAACTCAACAATTTATAATGATGAATAAATTACTTCTCCTCCGTCTTCATTTGCTTTGCTACTTTATTCATTTCCATGAATGATGTAGAATAATTTTAAAAAATAAATTATTCCTTCATGATTTCTATTTTGTGTGGAGTGAGCGAGACAAGATCTCTCATTTTTTCTTGAAGTTCCTTGTTTTTCAAATAATTTTTCACCACTTTTTGCTCTTCCACTTACATCATGGCCCAAGGGTTACTTAACAGAGCATCTATATGTATAATATACCAAAAGAAAACGAGAATTGAAGATGTGCTATAAATTAAGCTTGTAGACGTAGTAGTGACTCCATTGTGGCCATGCTCTCTCATCCTACTTACTCATTCACTCTATGAAAATATTTTTTAATCTGTTAATCTGTATTTTTGCTAGAAAGTTTTTATATCAAAATATTTTACAACACATTGCAAGTTCAGAATAACATAATAAATTCTTTACAAAATTGAGAAAAAAAAGGAACTAGTTTGAAAAACATTTGTTTTTTTGTAGACATGGGTGCTGTTTTTGAGGTGCTATTTTATTTGTTGGTCTTACTTACTTTAGGATTGTGCCTAGTAGGATAACTGTGGGTATGATTTGATATAAAATTTAAGACTATACTTGAAAGGATTAGCCAAGTATTATCAACTTAGGTATTGTACTTAAGCCATCCTTCTTAACTAAACCAGCAATCAGCCTTAGTCTTCTTTGAAAATCAACAAAATTCTCAATCTAGTCACTCATTCACAAACTTCATCCACATCCAAGAAATAAGAAAAAGAAAAAACAGTTAAAAAGGGTGTATATGTGCTGCTGGATGCTGCTACACAAACAAAGGATGGTTGAAAAGTTTTTAAAAAAGTATTTTTCTTCTTTCCCATCAAAACTTCATATTTCATACACAATGTTGGAAACTGTCTATTTAACTTTACTTATTCCACCGCAAAAATTTCTCGCATTTAAATATCTGTATACAAAATTATGTATCTATCCATCCTCGAGTATATAGGCTGTGAAAACTTTTTCCATGTCTACATTTTGCCCTCTCGAACATAAAACCTCTTTTTTTCACCAGGGATTCATTTTTACTTTGCCAAAAAAAAAATGCACAAAAAAAAGAATCTCTGAATTTTCCTCATTTTCGGAAGAGCAGGAAATCGGAGAGAATGGGGAAGAAAGAAGTAAAAGTTTCCCATTTGAGGCAACAATATAATTTTTTTGAATCTATTTCATGCAGAATTAATAGATGTATGTTTCCTAATTTCTCTTCTTCATATTCTGTTCCATATACCACAACATCAGCCGCTTCTCACTTTTTTCTACATTACACACGAGTTGTGGAGCCATTTTCTTCCTTGAAATGATATACACTGTAACAAATTGTATTTTTTTCATCCTTCCTTCGATGTTTTCTTTCTCTCTCTCTTAACCGCCCTCATCATGTTTGTAAAAAAAGAGATGAAATAAAATAGAAGTCAATTTTGTCAAGGAATAAAATAAATGGAAATTTTTCTTTCCTTTTCATATAACTCATACAGCTTCTGATTCTATCCATCTTACTTTCTTTGTGACATGCTTACCTAGACTACTGTTATTGTTTTAGTAAATACGATACTTTTGAAATTAGGAATTTTGTTGTTTCCAACGATTTTATTAACCTTGATTCAATCAATTTCTAAATCTTCAACTGTAAAGTATAGTAAGAAGATAAACAAAGTTCTTAAATAAGCAAATTAAACATGAAGAATCACCAAAATCTTTAAATAATAAGGGTCCGCGTCAAAAATAAAAGGAATTTCAAAGAAAAGGTTTAAAAAGATCGAAAATTTCCTAAAATTTCCCGCATTTTTGAGAATATTTGCAAAAATCTAATATCTGAAAATCCTATTAATACACATCGATTCCTAACTTTAACGCTTTTGCCACCCAAATTGGAACATAAAAAACATACTCCTGGCCTTTAATCATTGGCAACTTAAGGTTTTAAGCATGTTTGCAGCAATTTTCGAAAGAAATTTTTTTTTGTTGACAAAAAATTGTTTCACCGACACAAGAAAATTCAATAAGATAATTTAAGTAACTTCCAATCATTTTATTGTTTAAAATAATAATTTGAATGAACAACTAGATGAACTTGCACAAATTGGTGCAGAAATATTTAAGTTTAAGCTTTAAATTAAAAAGATATGAGAGGTCTTGTCTACTCAAAATACCCATTCCCGAAAATTCTACGTCATCGGAGGATATTCGAATGGCTCTACAGAAGGAACTAGACATTGTACATACTTAAATTTGTTATTAAAATCTTTGTCTCGGCGAGTTCTATAAGACTAATTAAAAATATAAAATGCTTTAATGGAGATAATTAATGAAAAATAAGAAAAAGTGTTCTTTGATGACGTAGAATTTATTTTCGATGCGGCCCTTAAGAATTATGTTTATTCTTTGAAGTTAAACATTTCAATGAAAGGGACTGACAACTATAAACGGGGAAATCAACTTTACTTAATTGTTAAAACTATTTAAATTTTAAACAACAGTTGATTCATTCTCAATAAAATTCAATAAAGACAAAAAGAGTCAATACCTAAATTCCACTAGACAGGGAGATAATAAATCATAACTTAAACTTCCTGTTTCAGCAAGAATCTCTTCGATTTTCATAAAATTCGAGCATTTATCATCATCATCACTGACTCTGAATAATAGAGTCAAATATTTGTATCTAAAACGGAAATATTTTCCATCCGTATGAGCTAGTTGCATATTATTCTCAATGCTGAAGGAGAAAAAAATCTTCATTCCATCCATTTGATGCGAATAATATAAGCATAAAATGCTCAGAGATAGAGGAACTCAAACAACCAAAAAATACACATTTTGAATGAACAAAAATAAAAAATCTTATAATATTTTCACATTTCAACAATTCAAATTCACATTTTCTGAATCCTTTTCTTCCCTCCTCTTTTGCACATTATTCTCCTCGTCCTAGCGTGTATTTTTACTTCCGTCACCCGCTATCACCCACACAAAAAGTAAAATATGAAAAGAAGAATAAAATTTCCTCGAAATGTTCTATTTAAATGGCAATGAGAGAAATAAACAATCATGATATTTATGCTTCTACATTTTTATACGTTTTGAAGCCCTTTTTTGAAATTAACGTCACGAAAATTCTACCTTTATTGTGTTTTTCAAATATATTGCGATATATTTTGTGGATTTCTCATTCTATAGCATGTTCTTTGGATCTTCAAACATGAGTTATGATTTTTTTTATAAAAGCTACAGGCTTTGAAGTTTGAATATACAAGTGGAAATTGCTAATGAAAAAAATGCTTTGAATGATTGAACAAAGGATTTTCTGAAACTTCTGACAAGTTTACAGTTTTTCAAATACCAAAGCACTATAGAACTTTTTTTTTGATCTATAGAACAAAAGTCATATAAGAATCATCCATCCATTAACTCTCTCGTGATGATGATGATGATGATAGGCTCACTTCACAATGCATTTAGTTTTTATATTCATTCAAAAAGGATTTGAACTCTTTGATGTAGATCCGAGTGACACTAGATGATAATGGCAATTCCTGTTGTTTCATACGATCCACAGACACACCAATATTATCATATGTAGATCGGAATCCAAAGTACATTTGCAGCGAAACATCCATAAAAGGAAGAACTTTCAAGAATGAAAGAAAGAACTATGAAAAAATTATGAATCGCAAAAGCATTCAGAGATTAATTGGTATTAAGATTCACGAGAAGCTCATTACATTAATAGTATCGCGAATGTTTGTACTTCAACATTTATAGCTACTGAAATGACATAATGAGAAAATCATGAAAGAAATTTAAATGTCAGCGAAAATGGTTTCATTAATGAATGAATAAGACATATAAAGTCGCTGTGCTTTATTCATATTCTATTCAAAGCAGAAATGAATATTTTCCTTTGAATAACTTTTATTTTCAAAAAAAAACTGGCTTTTATTTTATTTTAATGATAATATTTTATTTCTCACTCGGCTTGTTGTTCCTTCTTTACGTACATAAAGATACAAAAAAGCGCTAAATGAAGCTATCTTCCGGGGAGAATAGAAGCAAACAACAAAAAAAATTGCCTCGCATAGCAGAAATGAGCAAAAAATTTGCGATAATATTTCTTCATTTATATGCAAAAAAGAGAGATTGAATCAAAGATTTAAAGCGCAGTAGGAGCTGGAATAGGAAAACTGTTTAAGAGGAAGAAGAGAATGTGCGATACAAGATTGAAATGTTATCTTAATTAAATATTTAAAGGGCGCTTTAGAAAATTTTCAAAATTGATTTGTTTACATTTCCACTTAAAGATTTTATGATTGAATTCTGGCTTAATTTCACATTCTTTCGTGATTTAGCTGAGTTCAAAGAACTTAAAAATCGTGAGCAAAACTTACTTTATTCCATTTGTTCAATGAATCAACCTGAAAAGTAGCAAAAACTTTACATTATTAGTTCTGATACAACTGCTCCTAAGAATCTCACTAAACCTTCATCTATCTTCTTCTATTTTATACTTTAAAACGTAAAACATAGAATACGATAGAAACAAGAAGATCCAAAAAATGCTGCAAAGCAGAAAATGAAATTTTTCCCTGTATGAAGTTTGAAATTAAAATTGTAATCACGTCAATTCTTAAAATGTTTTTATGTATATCAATTAAAAGGAAACCCAATGAAGAGAATCACGTAAAGGATGTAATTTATAGAAATTTATTGCAAACGCAGTGAACGGAGATTTACTTTATGTAATCTGTATGTGTGATTATTCACAAGATAGACAGAGAAAGATGTAATTATAATAATAATGAAGGATATTTCAGAAAAAAAGGTTCATAACTGTAGACCATGCTTAAAATATTTATGTCTATAAATTTCACTTTCCGCTTCAATTCACAATATGAGGTGATGATGTGAAGCAAAATATTGATTAATTAAAGATAAACAAAAAGTTTTCATTATGAAGGTTCAGCAAGCTATTATGATTATTATTTAAATCTAGACTTTTTGGGTGGAAAATTTGTCGATGTTCAGCATGAATTATTTAGTTAAATTTGGTGCTATTCATGCAGAAAATTCGTGTTAGCTATTCTAATAGTTTTGGGGAAGTATATCCACTACCGACCATTCCGTACAGAACTACTGAAAGTGTGATAAACCAAAACACAATTTATGACAGCCACATAATTAAAATTTAATGGAAAAATTACATAATTAAATTATTCAACAACAGCCCATGCTGACATGTTACATAAATTACACATCATAAAGTTTATGAATAAAATTTTTTATAGTTCAATAAACTCAAACTGGACTATTTTACATAGCCTTATGAATAGATCCTTCACTTGTCATTTACTTTTATAAGTTTTCGTTCCTTAATCTGTTTATGTATTTAGATGAATACATTTCGCTTCATGTGACAGAATAGCTTTTTATATTAAGCTTGAAAGGTGAAGGCTCCATCTTCCCGCTTTACATCATTCCAGTTTTATTAGACACGAACCGAAAGGATGACTGGTGAAAATTTATTCAAAAGTTTAACTTCTAAAGGAAACTTTTCCATTGAAAATTTTAATGATACGAAAGAGACTTTGTTGTTGAAAATAACATTCAACTTTGGTACATTAAGCACACAAAATGACAAACTTTAACCATTTACTTAATTCTCGTATTCTTCCTTTCCTATTCACCCAATTAATTTTTACTATCTTCTTTCATTCTATTTAGATGAGACTGACGTTATCGGGGCATTTAGCCAATCGGACTCTGATGATCACTTATCTGTACAATCGCTAAAATCTGGCGGCTCTGTTGATAGTGGTGTTGTATTAAAATCAAAGCCGACTCCCCGCTTGATAATGAGTTCAACTGGAAAAACTATTGTTGCATAGGTAAGCATACGATAATCAATGAGGCATTTTAATGTCGCATAAGTCTTATTGCTTAGTTGATAAGGAACCACCCTAAAAATGTCACATTTAAAGTAAATTTCCTGCAAAACTTCCTTACTAATTCAACATTAACTCTCTTCCCAACAGGATAATGAAACTCTTTACAAAAAAAATGCACATCCAATAAAACTAATACGTGCCTCTATAAAAATACACAGAAAAAAATATTAATAAAAAACACATTAAAGAACATAAGATGAATGAAATAAAAAGGTTGGAGAATGTTGCTGTCGCTCAAGAAAGAAAAATCTGTTAAAACATATTTCCCCGAAAAAAAACACACAAACGAGATATCAAAGCTGAAGAGGAGTAACACACACACATAATAAATCATACACATACTGATGTATATGATGGAATAAAAAATCATTAATGAGAAAAAATTCATAAAAAAAAGATGGAAAAAAGAGCAAGAAGCATTTTGTAAAGGATTTAATGTTGTCTAAGTAATAATAATAGTAATAACAATTGTGGATATAAAGATCGAAAGCTTTTAACATGAATATTCACTTCATTGAGAAAAACATATGAACGACTGAGCTCTTTTAAAATCACTTCATTGTTTATTTCCCTTTTTAATTTCCACTCGCTGCATTAATATGAAATATCTTTAAAAATGTACAGCTAGCAGAGATAAAATAAAAATTATGATAAATTGTGTATAAAAAAATCCAGTCAAGTCTCCTTCGCTAAGTTAAATCATTCTCTACCATAATTAATAAATGTAGCACTAAGAATCATGCACAATTCTTCATTCATTAATTTCCAAGACACAAGGGATGTGTATAGAAATAAACATTTATTCCTTTCATCTCCATTCTCTCAATGCGAGGGGATGGGTGGGGTGAAAAATAATGGCAACATATATACAATAATAATTATAAATTATAATAATATATATTTATTTTTGTTATGTAAATTAAATAATTCAAAAGATCACAACATTAATTTTTGTCATACATATACATTTAATGCGACAATGTTAAATGCTCGGTCATGCAAATAATGAAATTCAGAAGCTTCTCTCATTTGACTGTATGCAAAAATTCATTTGTTTTTCTTTTTAATTGATTTAATTTTGTTTCCGTTGAAGCAAATGATTTTATACATTTGTATAATTCTTATTTGAGAATGCGAAATTATTTTCTGCATCATTTTAGTGATTCGAAAGCTATTTACTCACTGAAGAGATGCGAAAATAGTTTTGCTTCTGATTCAAAGATGCAAAAATAGTTTTGCTTCAATTTAAGAGATTCTAAACTGGTTTTCCATCATTTTAGTGACGCGAAAATATCTTTGCTTCAATTCAAAGATGCGAAAATAGTTTTAATCAAATTTTAAAAATGCGAAAATAGTTTTGCTTTAATTTGAAAATGATTGAAACTTAAGGAAATTTTCTCAAAATTTCTGAATAACATAAACTTTTGAAGAGTGTTGATCAAAATCTGAAGAGCTTCTGCATTTACTTATTTGTAAGCGACTTAATGTTTATTTTCGAGACTAAATTCTTGAAAGTACATGAAATAATATCCAGAAATCTCTAGAATATACAAATTTTCTACATTTGAGTGAGATATATGTGAATATTTCAGAATTTTCAACCTGAATGGATCAAAATAATTGTAATTTTGACAAGCAAATGTCATTCAGGCAAGGATAAAAGTGAAAGGTACAATCAAGAACTTTCTCAAAATCGAGTGAGATAATTAGATGCGAATTTTCACATCAATTCTCACTGGCAATCAAATCAAACGTGTATAATGAAGACGAATTATTAAAATAAATGTGTAGAAGATGAAAATATGATTGTCTCGTCGAATTTTCCCTTCTTTTTTCCCTTTGCTTTAAAGAAAAAAATGCCGCAATTGAAAAATTTCAAATAAATATTAAAAAAAAGTAAAAATCGATAAAAAAAATTACAAAAAAATCTTTTTTCTATATAAACATAAAACTTATATTCGTACACGCATATTTATGAAGAAAAAAAAAGTTGAAAAAAGTCTTAAAAAAATAATTAACTATTGATTAATTATTATTAGATGAGATAAACTGGTAGATTGACAAATAATATTAAAAAAAAAGCTTTCAAAATTGTAAAAAATTCATTAAATGTCAAAAATGTCGATGATAAAAAAATTGAAGAAGTAAGGAAACCAAAATACAAAGAATTTTAAAGACAAAAAAAAAACGTAAAATTGAACCCTTTTCAATTTTTTTTTATAAAAATTCCTACCTGCCAACAGCAGCAAGTAGCAGGTGGGGATATTCTTGTGTTCAATTCGAAAGGATGTTCTTGTCCCAAAGGAATATGTTTTGAAAGGAGTTAAATAGAAAATTGCACATTTTATGAAAACGTGATCTCCTTTAATAAAGAAAATAATACAACCACCGTACTTTATGATCCCAAAAAGAAAAAAAAAATATATATATACATGCATATACATAAAATGAGATAGGAACAAGTGGAATGGGCATTCAATTTTGATTTGACGAAGCACAAAAAATTTTTATTGTTATTATTATTTTGTATACAATAGATGTTGGGGATTGGAACTTTAAAGACCAATTTTCATCGCTGATAGCATTATTGATCATTCTTGTTTATGGCCCGAGTGATACAAAAAAAAAGTTTTGTGGCTGCCTAACTCCCTCCAGATATGAAACATCCTCATCAAGTACTTACATTACCTGCAGTCAATTTACATCAACGTTGCTTCGTACAACTGACCAACACTCATTCTGCCTGTCAAAACGTCTATCAATTTAGGTCAAAGTTCCATCCCTAAATTCAAATCTTTTGTAACTATTCAAATCATCCTTCATTACTCTATTTATATACACTCACGCATACAATATTATAGAATATTACTATACACAGAAAAACCATTTTCATCCGAAATATGTCACAAGAGGAAGCAGCAAAAATAAAGAATATAAAGAGGCCCAAACTTTTACAATTTTCATCTTTTTTTACTTTGAAAAAGAAAAAGGAATTGTCTTCTCTACCCTTCTCCATGTTTTTCTGTTAATATGGCTTATGTCACTACGAAGAAGAAAACAGAATCTTTTTCTGCATTCACAGAAAAGGATTTCTTGAACTGAACGCTTTAAAATGAGAAAATTGAAAATAAATTTCAAGGCTTGGTGACTCTAAAGAGGAGTTTTGGGATGAAATATGATTAGAATCTTATGTTTCATGACTTTAGGAAGAATTTTTGACACTTTAATGCGATAATGGATGTAAATAAGCATGAAAAGAAGTTATGTTTAAATCTTTTGTTTGGAAAACTAAATATTATCTTGCTAACATCCTTAATGTAAAATTGACAACTAAATTGATAGGAACTTCTAAGAAATAATGAACCAAACTTAAATTCTGAAAATTTCAAGAATGAAATTCAACTTTAAATTCAATTGAACAATCAAGATGGTACTTGACAGCTAGTCATCAACACTTCGTAGCTTAAAGAACATTCAACAATCAATTCTTGAAATCAGTTCCAAAACATTGAGCTAATTTCAAAAACAGATTGAAAAATCAGAGTTGCCAAGTCTTGAAATAATTTAAGAGACATGAGCACAAACTATCTATAATATTCTGGTCCATAAACACTCATAAATAAAGTTTTTCTTTTGTTTCTTCTTCTTCTTCAAGAAAAAAAAAATGTAAAGAAAAATAAATAAGTTCGAAACGAAAACTATTGAGTATAAAAATTACATACTTTTCAAGCAATACTGAATGATATAATTCTGTAAAGTAGTTTTTTACCCTAAATGACTTCATTCAAAGAAATAAAATAAAAAAAAAATACAAAAAATAAGAAAAAACTTTCTTAATAAAATTAAATAACCTAAGCAGAAAAAAAAGAGTTTGAAAATGATGAAGAAATATCAACATGGATCCGTATCTCTCCCCTATAACTATTCTTTGGCATAAAAAGATATAAAATAAAATGAAAATGAGCACACAGCAGATCTTGATGCGAGGAGAAAGGAAACTTAATAATTATAGGTCTTAAGGCAAAGAATAAAGTTGTGTTAATAATGAAACGTGGTATATAATTGTCGGGAAGAAAGTAAATAACAAATAATTATGTCTTATTGTAATCAACGAAAAGGAAAAAAAAATTGAAATTAAAAAAAATTATTAGCTTCTCAGAATGACGCTTGTTTTTAATGCTGTACATTTTCTGGTATTAGTTTTTGTATATACTGAAAAAAAAAGTTAAAGGAGGTCGATGAACAGAAACTTGTCAAGAGCATCTCGAGTACTAAAGCGCATTTCTGATGTTGAAATTTGAAAATTTTGATTTAACGGCTATTCGAAATTCAAAATTAATTTTGAGCCCAGGTCAATGATGATTGTTATTTTTTTATCACTTAAAATTGTTTTTTATAAATTACTCATTGTTAATCATTGAAATTTAAATTTTTTAATCTTTATGGCTTGAGAAAAGAATGGCAAAAGTCATATATGATACATGAAAATATTGTGTGTTAAAGAATTCCTAGAAAATTAGTCGATTAAAGAATTCAAGGACTAAATGATTATTTTGCCAAACAATTTCATTTTGGCTCTGCCAGAAATCCAAATTAATGATTCTTTATCACACCCTCACTTCCTTTATTCCCCCATTCGCTCCGAATTTTTCATGAATATTCAAGGCTCAGTTGTATTCATACAGTTCTTCCTCTTAATAGCCACGCTTGATTATACATTTTCATTTCCACTTCCACCCCCGCATCACATCCATCCATCTATGTTGCAATTATAATTTCCTTTCTATTTCTCCTTTTTATCAAATCAAAATCATAACCGCAAACATAAATTAATGAATAATGAAAAAAAAAATTGTGCAAAATCAATAAAAAGGAATGAAAAAAAATGAATAAAAAAACTTAGTAGATCATAATTGAGATATGAAAAAGAAAATCTTGAAATGAATAAACTTTAATAAATGATGATAATATAATTTTGAAGTACAAAAAAAAATTATTTAAAAAATAACTTTAAAAAAAAATAATAAAAAAAACATGTGAAATATTACTTGTAGAGCACTGAATGTGTGTAATAAATATTAACAAAGAAACAGTAACATGATAAATAAAGTGTAATAATTAATGAAAATGCTTTCGTTCCTTTATTTTTGATGCTTTAATTATTTTCTGTCATTTTTCAGAGCTGATGTAGTTTATCATTGTCATTACTTAATGGTGGTAACGATTACGATAATAAATTGGGCGAGAATTATTTTGGTTGATTGAATACTTTGGGATATGGATGAGCTTCTGGGTCTGGGGATGTAAATTACCCTTTTCCTTCGATTCTATTGCTTAATCGGAATAGATAAACGACTGCTTAATGAATCCTTAGCAGTCATTGGTCTTAGCTTAACGACTTTGAGGCTCACAGGGACGTAGCAAGGTTTGACGCTCGATGCAAGCTAGTCCATCGAGTCATTCCAATTCCGAAAGCTTCAATAGCAAAAAGGTTTCCAGCTTTTACAAAGTTCCTGCTAATTACTTTCTTGAACACATACTTAAAATAAGGCATTCATTCGAAAAAGCAAAACAATATTAATGATTCATTTCCTGGAACCGAGAAAAACATAATGAAGAGATTTCCAAGAAAGACTTTTCAATTTCTTTTCGTGGAACAATTTATTTATTTTCATACTTTATGTGACATGAGCATTGTTTCGAGTGAAGAATCCATTAAAAAATGTCAAGTTCTCGTGTATTCCTGCAAAGCTTTATGTTTTGTTGACTTTTCTCATACGAAGAAAAAAAGTATTGAGTTTAAAGTGTTTTGCAGAGAATTTTTCAAGATTAAGGAAATATTTTCTGATGAAATATTGATCCTGCACATGTTCTTTATCTGAAAAAGATGGAACTCGATTTAATGCTTATTAAATTCACATTTTAATAGCTTTGTATGGACAACTTTACATTTAAATTATAGTTTTTAAAATATCCACCTTTAATGAACTTACGTGCCAGTCCAAACAGCTATAATTTATGTAGTTCCACAAACCCATACTTAATTCAATAATTTCGTAAGCATTTATTTCAGGAACCACACTTGAAAAATAAATTTTTCGAGTTTAAAGAATTTAATAACAACAGAAGTAGCTACAACCCAAAAAA